GCCGGGTTCCTCTCCCTACAGAAAAGCGGAAAGCCTGGAAGGAAACAGCCAGCAGAAGAGCGAAGCTGCCTACACTAGCTTTGGAGCCAGAGTGCCGTAAGAGACAGAGGAAAACATAAGACATTTACTCAAACTGGGACACAAAGCAAGGGTTAAACTGTGATGTTAGTAATATTAGTACAATATATGAACTGTCTCATGTATTGTCATTTTCTAAAATCCTCAATTAAGTACACAAAAAAGGCCAAGAACTAAAAATGCTAGCAGAGTACTTGAATCACAGGACGTAATCAACTTTGAAATCTGTTTTCTTCATTTCTTATTGCATGGGAAGAATTTTCCACAGCAGTGCATATTTAGCTCTCTACGGGAGAACAGTAAGACACTGTTCAGATCTGCTGCACTACAATTCATCATGAAGAGCCTCCACATGGTACACCGTGAAAAGCTGGGGTGTTCAAACCCCCGTGGACTAGACCCACTGTCCCAGGCTGACAGGACCTTGAAGGGAGCCCGTGACCTTAGCACCTGGGCTCTGCACACACTACAACTGACTGAAGAGGGGCCCACGTGAAACATGGAGCAGCTCTCTACGTCACCAAGCAGTCTCCTTGTGCGCTTAAGCTGCACAACTGATACAATTTTAAAATCACAATTAAGATCTACCTGTTGCAAAGATGGTCCTTTCTTCCAAAGTTCTCTCCCTAAAGATTTAAAGAGAGGAAAACAGTAGAGCAGCAGGTTAGCATGGGTAGACACGCATTTCCTAACTATGCAACTGAGCTGAAGTCAAATCAAAACAATTGAAAGTCTCCTTTAGAACTTACTGCTTCTTGATCTCCTTTGCAAAACATATGCTTACAGTGTTACTGAGCTAGCATTTTTACCTAATTAACAAAGTTTATTTAAAATATGATAATATTCAGGTAGTACGAAAGATGATTTATCAATATATACCTGAAAGTTTACAGAAATGTGCATACCTTGAAAATGAGTGCTTACATTTCTGATTCTAAGGGCATAATACAAATATTCTAAAATATTTATGTATAAGTACATACTAGCAAAACACTGAACATAACCTAAACACTCCCTATAGGAAACAGGTTTATTAAGTGAAATTCAAATTAAAAAAATCTGATGCATCCATAAAAATTATACTGTTGATGAGACTGGCACAAAAGCTCAGCAGACTAAAGTGCCTGCTTAGGCAAGAGCAGGGATCACGGTTCAATCCCTGGCACTAAAGGCCGTGTCTGCCCCACCCCCAGAGCAGGCTGAGCCAGCCAGTGTCAAGGAGTAGTGGTGCATGCCTATAATCTCAGCACTGGGGAGGCTGAAAATAGGAGGATCACTATAAGTCTGACCTGCACAGTGAGATCTTGTAACAACCAAATACATTAAAACATAAAATAAAAATTATACTGTAGAAAAATGTTTGAGGGAACAGACTTCAAAATATATTACATATAAAAGTAAGTTACAATTCAGTAGTACAGATGACCTCAATATTATGGGTAAGGA